TTTCTTTTTAAAAGTTTTTTTTTTTTTTTTTTTGATGCCAAAGGGTACATGCACTTACCAGAGAGAGAGAGAAAACACCCCCTAGTGGAATGTAGTCACGCCATAATCTTTTCTCCTCCATCATGTCAGGATTTTGGCATTGGTGTGTTTTTCAAGCTGTCGGTGCTGAAATCTAAACCAGGGCCAACCATGTGAGATCCAGCTTTCAGTGCAAGCACTGAACCAAGTACTACGGTCTGGCCCTATATTATATATTACAGTTTATTTATTTATTTCTTCCATGAGCAAGAGAGAGAAAGAGACAGACAGACACACCCCTAACAGGGTCTTCATGCCACAATCCACCCCAGCCTTGGCCAGTCTCAGTTATGGGCACATATGTGTACCTAGTGTGTATAGGGAGGCCCTAGAACGTGAATCTGAAGCCTTCCTGTGTAAGCCCAGTTACATCATTGAGCCTCTGTCTGGCTATGTGTGTGTATATATATGTATATATATATACACACACACAACCACACACACACTTTTTAATAGAATTAATTAATTAATTTAAATTTGACCAGAGACAGAGAGAGGGAAAGTGAGAAAGTTAGCCACCAGGCCCAGAACTTGAGCCATGGTCGACCATGTGGGAGTCCAGCACCTTAGTGATCTTGCCACCTGCTAGCCCTAATATACACATTTTTATAAAGAATTATTTTATTTTATTTTTTTTGTTTTCATTTGCTATAGGGCATGTGTGTGAGAGGAGGCATGAGAGAGGAAGAGAAAGAAAGTGAGAAAACAAGTCACTAGGTCCTGGACTCGAACTGCGGTTGGCCATGTGGGAGCCTGGTGCCTAAACCTGCTGGCCCCCATCATATATTTTTAAAGAATGGAAACCATTCCAAGGTGGTCTAAAATATGAATTCTATACTGACCTCATGCCATTGACACAGGTATTTATCCTTTTAAGATTATTTTTGTTGTTAAAAGCAAAATACCAATAACATTCCATCGAATTACAAAAGTGGATGCTTCCCTACCCAGCACCTTCCTTTTTGCTGGGTTTAGATATCCCCTTCTCTCCTCACTTCCGTAGGTGGAGAAGTGTGACGTGAGCACACACACCTCTGTATGTGACTGTGGTCATTCTGAGGGCTTCAGTTCCTCCAGAAATACACTGAGAGGGCTGAATAGGGCTGTTTTGGGGTAACCAGACAGCAGTGGGGCTAAAATACCTATTTTTTTTCTTTTCTTTTCCTTATTTTTAAAAAATTATCAGAGGGCATGTGCACTCACCAGAGAGAGGTAGGAAAACAGGGAGAGAGGCCTGGTGATGCTGCAATCCATCGTCCTCCATTCCTCCACCCCGATGGGATTTGGGGCATGCACACATGCTTGGCATGTTTGTGAAACCACTGAGGCGGGGACTTGAATGATGTTATGTGGTGTCCCGCTCCCTTAACCATTAGGCTATGGGGCCATCCCTGGAATTTTCAGTTCTTAAACAAGGCTTGGATGGGACATCTCTGGGAGCCTGAGGTGGATCCTTGAACTGATGACTGCACAGCGGCCAAATCACATGTCTCCATTTGTCAAACTGTCTTGTCTTCCCCTCCAGATTGCCACCATCCTGGACTGCCATGCAGCCACCCTGCAGCGGAAGACCGACCGAGAGGTCTTCTTCATGAACACCCAGAGCATCGTGCAGTTGGTCCAGAGGTGAAGTCTGGGCCCTCTGTGGGGCGCAGTTGTCACACTGAGTCATCACACATATTGCAGCATGGGGGTTCTCTGGGGTCCTTTCAAGACCCCTCCAAGAGGGTCGTCAAGCCACTGTGCATTCCCAGCTTCAGCTGGCTCAGATCACAGGCACATATGTGTACCCAGCATGCTTGGAGAGGGGGGCCTGAGACACAGACCCTAGACCTTCACCATTCAGGCCCAGTTATCTCACCACTGTACCACCACCTGGCCCCTGCTTTCTTTCCCCGTTTTAAAATCACAAAAGCAGGAGATATTCAGGAGCAGGAGGCAGTGGAGGTGAGCACTAATGGCAGCCCTCCCTTCCTCCTCAGATACCGGAGTGGGACCCGTGGCTACATGAAAGCGGTGGTGTTGGAGCTCCTGCGAAGATATTTGCACGTCGAGCACTATTTCCAACAAGGCAAGAGATGCCACCATCTCCAGTGGCACCAGTGACAGGCCCATGGGGTAGGGGGAGCACACAGAAGCCTGAGCCTTACCCCATGTGACTTTTGTCACCCTCTACAGCCCACTACGACAAGTGTGTGATAAACCTGCGGGAGCAGTTTAAGCCAGACATGTCCCAGGTGCTCGACTGCATCTTTTCCCACGCGCAAGTGGCTAAGAAAAACCAGCTGGTGATCATGTTGATTGTAAGTAGGAGAGGGTGGCCTTTACCCACAGCGGGGGCAGGTCAGGGGTCCCCACACTTTCCAGAAAGAGCCAGAAGGTGGACTGGCCCCACAGCTCAGCCATTAAGGGATCCAGCTCTTAAATGGCTGACTACTCTTCAAATTCCCCGATGCCTAAGAAACACACTGGCATGTATGTATGCGTGCCCCAAATCCTGACAGGATGGAAAAATGGAGATGGGATTGTGGCATGACCATGCCCCATTGGGGGGTGCTTTTTCTCTCTCATACATGTGCCCTCTGACAATAAAAAAGAAAGAGGACCAACAGATGGCCTGGTGGTTAAGGTTCTTAATCCCACATGGATTATATAGTTCAAGTATAGTTCAAGTCCCTAGCCCAGCAGCTAGACAAACATGCTGGGTGTATGTGTGTACCCAAAATCTTGTCAAGAAGAAAATGGAGGAAGGATTGCAGCATGGCCATCCCTCCTAGGGGGTGATTTCTCACTTTCCCTCTCTCTCTGTCTCCATTTGGTGAGCCTACCACCTTATGGCAAAAATCTAAAACAAAAAAAAAAGAAAAGAGTACCATCGGAAAGTAAATATTTTAGATTCTGCAGGTTGTAGAGTCTCCATCCTGATTACTCAACAGTGCCATTGTACAGTGTTAGTGGGTTCCAAGAAAACTTCATCTATAGCATCTATGAGGGTACTTTAAAAAACTCATGGAAAATGGAATTTAAGTACCAGTTTAATTTGGTATAAAACAAATTGAAATTCATGCATAGTCTTTTCTTCATATGCATTTTCCCTGAACTTTTTAATTAGCAATAATCGCGCCTTGGATAAACCTCATTGGCTACGATACTGCCACTGCGCAAAGCTCCCCTGAACTTTTTAGAGACTCCTCATACTACGTGCCAGACATGTTTGAAGTCCTTTACAAATAACATACAGACTCATTTCAGTCTTACAGCAACCTTGGGAGGTGGGTACTGTTCTCACCTCTCATTGGCAGAGCACAGAGGGGCTAAGACATTTGCCTGAGGGCACCCTGCTTACAAATGCAGAGCCAAGGTTTGAACCCATAGCCTGGCTCTAGAGTCAGGAGGAGATACTAGATTCCAAATCTCATTTTGCCTTCTTAATAAAGAAATGGAGTTTCTTCATTCTTGCTACTCCTCCTACTACTGATAGTTCATAATTAGCAGTCTTTTATAGCTAAAGATTTTTTTTTTCTTGATGTGGTCCCTGATGACAGACTGGGAAACTATAGGACCGGCAGATAATAGGAGACGCTGGACTTGGCTGATAGCAAGAAAGAGGCTGCAAGTTTTGTCTGTAATGGACCAGACAGTGAATATTCTAACTTGCAGTATACGGCCTGTGTGGCAGCTGTTTGGCTCTGCTTCCATAGCTGAATGCAGCTGTGGGCAGTATGCAAATGAACGAGTGTGGCTGTTTCTATAAAACTTTATTTAAAAAAAGACAGTCAGTGGGCTGGCTCTACATCATGGGCTTATAGGATAATTAAAAGCTTAACGAGGGGGACCAGCAGGTGGCGTGGTGCTTAAAGTGCTGGACACTCCCACATGGCTGACCACAATTTGACTTTTGGACTTGGTGGCTTGCTTTTCTCTCTCTCTCTCTTTGTTTGTGTGTCTGGTCAAATTAAATGAATGAATAAATTAAATTAAATTAAAATAATTCTTAAAAATAAAAAAGCCTAACAAGGACCCAGCAGGTGGCATGATGGTTAAAGCACTGGGTTCCCACATGACTGACCACGGCTCAAGTCTTGGATCTGGTGTCTTGAAAATCATGCCAGGAGTGTTTGCATGCATGCCTAAAATCCTGAGAGAGTGGAGGAGAAGGGATTGTAGGGTGGCCATCCCCACTGGGAGGTAATTGCTCACTTTCTCTCTGTCTCTCTCTAGTGAGCACATAAGCCTTTGCCAAAAGAAAATTTAGAAACCTAAAAAAAAAACCAACAAGGGAACCAGCAGTTAGCGTAATGGCTATGTCGCTGGACTCCCATGTAGTTGACCGTGGTTCGCGTCCCGGACCCGGTGGCTTAAAACTCACGCCGGGCGCGTGTGCGTGCGTGCCCAAGATCCCAAGAGGAGAATGGAGGAGAAGGGATTGCGGCGTGACCATCCACCCTGGGGGGTGATTTCTTGCTTTCTGTCTCTGTGTCTCTGTCTGTCTTTATGGTGAGCGCACGCGCCCTATAGTGAAAATCTCCCCCCCCCCAAAAAAAAAAAAACCAATGAGATGGATTCATTGATATTATGCTTAAGTTTATTTCTTCCATCAAAGAGAGAGAAAGAAACAGGCACCTCCCTCAACAGAGTCTTCATGCCATAATCCATCCCCAGCCTCAGCCAGCCCTGGTCATAAGTATACGCTCACCTGGCATTTATAGGGAGGTCCTGGGACACAAACTGAACCTTCTCATGTAGGTCCAGTTAATATTATCCCTGTGCTTCCATCTGCCCCCCCCCCTTTTTTTTTAATGAGTTTATTTCCTCTGCATGAGAGTGAGAACGAGGGCAGGGGGCTTACTCTCAACAAGGACTTCACACTGTAGTCCTCCCCCAGCTCCACAGCCAGCAAAGATCACAGGCACACTCACAGCCATGCCCAGTGGATTCAGGTAGACCCGGGAGGTAAACCTGAAGTCCTCCCACGTGGCTCCAGCACCACAAACCTGCACCTTTACTCCCTGCCTCACTGTTGTGTAGTCTGGGGCAAGGCATGTAGACTCTTAGAGTCTCGGCTTCCTCATCTGTAAAGAAGAGAAGACAACGGTAACTCCATAGAGGGTTGGGAGAACTGGGAGAAATGTATGTAACAGTTTAAGCTGTTTGCCTGGTAGATACACAGGGTCGTCCACAAGTTCATGGAGAGGACAGCTGGTGTTGTGGTAGTTAAGGTGCTGGACACTCCCACATAGTCAACCACGGTTCGAGTCCCAGACCTGGTGGCTTGCTTTCTCACTTTCCCTTTCTGTATGTGTGTCTCTCTCTCTCTGGTCAAATTAAAATAAATGAATAAATAAATAAAATTAAGTAAATAATTCTTTTAAAAAGTTCATGGAAAATGAGTATGCATGGATTGCAGCCTTTTTTGACAAGATAAACTTGAATTTAATTCCATTTTCCCATGAACTTTTGAAGTATCCCTATAGCAAGCCCCTGAACATTACGGGCTATCCATAGTAATGCAGGCAGGGACTTGGCTGTGTTGTTCTTCCTACCAGGTGTTCAGGGCAGGTCGGGGTGGATGAATAGGTGAACGAGTAAATGAACAGATGAATGGGTGGGTGGGTACATGGCCTGTCAGGTGTGTTCAGAGAACAGAGTGTCTGGCCGAGGTGAGTGCTGGCTTGTTTCATGGTGGCAGAGAAGCCACTGGATTCTGTTTTTGTCCCCCAAAGGATGAGCTCTGTGGCCCAGACCCCTCCCTGTC